TGAAGCATCCTTCTCTCCAGGTGTCTATGAGACAACTTCCCCTTCAGACCCCTCTGAAGCATCTTTCTTTCCAGGTGTCTATGAGACAGCTCCTCCTTCAGACCCCTATGAAGCATCCTTCTCTCCAGGTGTCTATGAAACAACTCCCCCTTCAGATCCCTATGAAGCATTCTTTCCTCCCAATCTCTATGACACAATCTTCCCTTCAGACCTGTATGAAGAATCCTTCCCTCCAGATCTCGATTGGCCTTCCTCTACTTTGGATCTGAATCAGACCTGTTTTCTACCAGAGGCTGGTCAGATAGTCCCTACTCCAGAGTCCAGTGAGAACTTTCCTCCAGACCCTAGTCATGTACCCTCCTCTCCTGTCTTTGAATCAACATCCCAATCACCTCCACCCAGAAACAATGTCACATTGAGACCGAGACAATTTAATCCAGCAATTATAGTGGGCCTTACCAGAGCTGATGGGAATTATGTTGAGTATATTCCGGGGCAGGACAACAAAGACAATGAAAATGATGATGATTATGTTGAAGACACGTATGTACACTATGACGATCCTTATCAAACAGATAGAAGGACAGATACAAGCTCACTCCGAAACCCTGACAACATTGCAGCATGGTATCTCCGAAGCTACCAAGGAAATAGAAAAAATTACTACATTGCTGCTGAGGAAGTACTTTGGGATTATTCAAAATTCTCAAAAAGGTTTGGAAAACTTCCTTTTATACCCTACACCTCTGCTATTCTCTAGTGATGAAAGGGCTACTTCTGATCTCAGTCACAGGCCCCTTTTATTCTTTTCCAGTGACAAACAAAGGGATTTTATTTGGTTTACTATACAGTGGACCCTTCATATGGTTAGAATAAGGGATGATGACTGAGTAGCCTGCATGTTCCACTGGTATTCAAGAGAATGTAAGGAAGGTCCTCAGCACAGTGGATAGACTTCCTGTGGTGAACCTGTAGAAGGACATGAACAAGAGTTTCACAGGATGGGTTGGAGAGAACACTCATGTCAATGAAATTACAGATCTATTGGAATCCAGTGCAGTCCTGTTCAGTAACATCATGAATTCAGTTAAAAATTCTTAAGATACCAGTGACAAACAGCAGGAACACCAGCTCAATTTTTAAAAGCCAGTGCATATTAAAAGTTCTTAGTTTTATAAGTTTACAAAGCACTTTCCTCACAAATGTTCCAATTTTATAGCAATGAAACTACAGCTTATTTGGCTAAGTAATAGCTGACATTTACACTTTAAGTTTTTTAAAGGCTTTAAATTTTTCAAATCATTTTACAAACATTTCTCTGTATATGAAGCACCCCAGGAAAGGAAAATAGGGAAGGAAGTGAGAACTTTGATCAGATTTCAGATGTGTAGGGCTTAATATAGTGGTCTGATTTACATTGGCCCACTAAGGTACAATGGGAATATGAATCTTTGGAATGACTAGTTGGACATCTCTGAAGAGGGCCGAACCAAAGTCTTATAAGAATAGGCAGGAGCTCTCCATGGACTGATCTCCTGTGGTGCCTGAAATTCCTGCATCAGCCATTTCTTTGGATAGAGGCTGAGTCCTGAAGGTCACCATTAGAATAGAGATGTTCTACCTTGAAAGGAAGCATTTAATGATTTTACTAATATAGGCATTTCCTCCCCCATTGCAGATCATAACCCCATCCCATCTTCTTAGCTGTGCCATTCTTATCTGTCTCCTCATATATCGGCTTTAGAAATGTTAGTGATTATTATCAGTAAATCAAACATTTATCAGGTACCCACTATGTACAAGGCACTGTGTTAAGTGCTAGGAACACAAAGAAAAAGCAAAAACAGTTCCTGTCCTCAGGGAGCTCACTTTCTAAGGGGGAAGGGGAAGACAATATGTAAATAAATAAGTACATATAAGATACATACAGTGTAGGTAGAAGGTAAGCTCAGAGGGCAAGGTGTTAACATCTCAAAGAAAAGATGCACACATTTAGAGACAAGTCCACTCCAAATGTTCATAAGAACTGCTTGTGCCCAACCTGTGGTAGAGCCTTCTGAGTTCATGTTGGTCTGATCAGCCACAGATGAACACACTGTACCTTGACCTAACATAGTGATGCCATTTTGATCCTTTTTGAGAATTGAGGACAAGAAGCAAACCAAATCAGCATCTCAGGGGGACTGTGAAAGACATCCTCCAGAAAGTGGCATTTGAGCTGAATCTTGAGAGAAGCAGAGGTGGGGGTGGGGGTGGGGTTGAGGAAAAGTAAGAAGAGAGCCTATTCCAGGCATGAAGGAAATTCCGTGCAAAGATACAAAGATGGAAGATGAAGAGTCATGTGTAACAAACAGCACATGGAGAAACAGTCTAGTATTACTGGATTGGACAATGTATAGAAGGGCATAAAGAATAAAACAAAAACAAAAAACCTGGAAAGATAGGAAGGGACCAGGTTGTGAAACACTTTATATGCCAAACACAGGAGTTTATATTTAATCCTGAAGCTAATAGGGAATCACTGGAGTTTATTGATTAAGGGTGGTCAGACGTGTACTTAAGGAAAATCACCTTGGCAGCTATATGAAAAATGGATTGGTGTGAAGAAAGACCAGAGAGACTGGGAGACCAATTAGAGGGCTATTGAGGTAGACCAGGTGATAGGTAAGTAGAGAAACCAGGGATATAGATGAGAACTGTGGTGAAGAAAGAAATTACAAGATAAGTCCTCCCAAAAGGGTCTACTCAACATGCCCTTCCCTTAGGAAAGTCTCCTTTCTCTATGCCACCAAGCTCTGTTTGTTAGGAAATATTGACTTAAACCAAACTGAAAATTGGCCTTTCCACAATTTCTACCCATTCAATTTAGTTCTGCCCTTTTGGGGAAGGTTGAGATGGTGCTTGGCCATTTCAAGGAGAAAAATAAAGAGGGAGATGAGTGGCTTCTTTTAGGGTGAGAATTTTTATTCTGCCAGGGACCTAAAATAAGGATGCCACCAAAATCTACCTCAAGGTCTGCACAATAGCAATGAGCTACTGTGTATTTGCCTACTTTTCTCAGGAAGAGCTGTGTGCCAATCTGCTAAAAATAGGTTTTCCCCCAATACTAGGCACATCTCTAAAATGAGCTCTCTTTGAAAAGAAAAAAAGTTACATAGACAGACATACATTGAAAAATAATATCTTAGGTTTTATACAAGCCATCTTTGGTTTTTAAAAAATTATGCCTTATGTTGATATGAACATGATGTAAATCTATGTATTAGCTTGAGTCACCTGGAAAAATGCAGGATTTTACAAGGATTTTTTTGGGGGGGGGGAGAAACTTTTATGAATGTAGTTTTTCTAACATTTTCTAATATTTTCTTCCTTATTATCTTTTCTTTCCCAACTTGTCAGCATGAGGAAGGCTGATGATGCTGATGATACCATAGGGAACACCGTGTATAAGAAAGTGATTTTTCGGAAATACCTGGACAGCACCTTTACAATGCCTGATCCTGAGGGAGAGAATGAAGAGCACCTTGGCATCCTTGGTCCTGTAATCAGGGCTGAGGTGGATGATGTGATCCAAGTAAGCCAAGTTTTAAGCATTGCTAAGAGAGGCAGGGGCAGGTAAGTGGAACAGTGGATAGAGTGCCGGGCCTGGAGTCACAAAGACCCGAGTTCAAATTCAGTCTCAGATACTTAACTAGCTGTATGACCCTAGGCCAAGTCACTTAAACCTGTTTGTTTGCCTCAGTTTCCTCATCTGTAAAATGAGTTGGAAAAGGAAGTGGCAAACCACTCCAGTATCTTTGCCAAGAAAATCCCAAATAGGGTCACAAAGAGTCAGACATGACTGAAACATCTGAACAACAACTACAAGAGAGGAAGAAGGGTGGTGTGGAAAGAGCATGGGAAGGCCAGTCAGAAGACCCTGAGTTTGAGTAACCGCTCTGCCCTTTGCTATCTGTGTGAACCCTGGGAAGTCACTTCACTTCCCTGAACCTGTTTTCTCATCTGTAAAATGGGTATAGTTATATTTTCCCTTCTACTTCACCAGATTACTGTGAGGAAAACACAATACAAATGTGAGTCGTTACTATCAAAGTTAGGGGGGTTTCTGAAGGTATATGATAGTTGCAAAGTCAAAAGTGTGAAAGGATGTTGTCCATGGTTTATCAAAGTCCATGTGGCCTGGAGAGAAGAACATTTGACTTGGGATTAGAAGGTTTAGCTATGAGACCTGCCTCCATAGAATTAAGAGTTATATGTTATGAACCAGTCACTTAATCTTCACTGAGCCTCAGTTTCCTCATCTGTAAATGAGACAGGAATAATAATAATAATAATAATAATAATAAGGATAAGGATAGGAACTGGATCTCTGATTTCATTAGTACAGAGCACTTCTGGAGGGGGAGTCCCCTCCAGCAATATAGGTAGCTATCTTCTCTGCAACTTTCAGTCTTAGAGTTGCCTACAGCACAGAGAGGTTAAGTAGCTTACTCAGGGTCACCCAGCTAGTATGTTTCAGAGGCAAAGATTTGAACCCAGGTCTTCCTGGCTTTGAGGCCACCTCTACACACACTACACCAAACCATCTCTTAAGTATAGTGTTATATAATATAACTCACATAATTTACCCCCACTTTAAAGATGAGGAGACTAAGGCTGAGAGATACTGAACAACTTGTCCAAGGTCACATTCCAAGTTCAGTGGTCTTTCCACTCTCCTGTGTTGCCTCACTGTCTATGGAACTGAATTAAAGTAATAAAATGAATTGAATTTCTATGGTAGGTTTATATAGAGTGTGCCTATAACTAAAGTTATGAGCAGCTAGGTGATACAATGGGTAGAGTGCTGAGCCTGAAATCAGAAAGACTCATCTTCATGAGTCCAGATCCAGCATTAGAAGCTGTGTGACCTTGGGCAGGTCACTTAACCCCATTTGCCTCAGTTTCCTCATCTGTAAAATGATCTGGAGAAGAAAATGGCAAACCATTCCAATATCTTTGCCAAGAAAACTCCAGATGGGGTCATGGAGAATTAGACATGACTGGAATAAGTGAACAATAAATAATTAAAGTTAAGGATTTTGTGTCTGATGTTTTAAAGTATCTGCTTAATGCTGTTTAGATAGCCTCTAAACTTCCCCACCTTCTTAGCCCTGCCATCCACCTATAAGCAAACCAGAAGTACTCTCCTCTCCTACCCCCAATTTGCTTATCCCCTGATTTATTAATACCACTTCTTACCACACACACCCCCAAAAAAGAATATAGGAAGCAAAAAAAAAAAAGAATATAGGAAAGAATTATTTTTTCCAAGAAAAAATAACTTTGGAGTCCATACCTACAATGTCATTGGTGTAAGGAACTCCAAGTAAAGAAGCTCTCTCTAATCATGTAAATCAACTGGTCTAAATTGATTGTTTAATCCTTTTTTGTCTCATTTCTCCTTAGAAAGAGAGAGATTCTCTTATAGTGATGTGCATTTACCTGGTTTCTTTTCTTTTCCTTTTTCATACTTCTAGGTTCGTTTTAAAAATCTAGCTTCCAGGCCATATTCTCTTCATGCTCATGGGCTTTCCTATGAAAAATCATCAGAAGGAAAGAGTTATGAAGATGATTCCCCAGAATGGTATCAGGATGACAATGCCATTCAGCCCAATGGCAGTTATACTTACGTATGGCACGCGACAGAACGATCCGGCCCAGAAAATGCTGGGTCTGCCTGCCGAGCTTGGGCCTACTATTCAGCTGTGAATCCGGTAAGGAACTCCTCCAACTTAGGTGACTAAAGGTTGCTGGCTTGATAATCCCATCTATTAACTTCACCTTTGGGAATGGGAAAGACCATTATTCCTATAGAGTTCACAAGACTTGTTTTCCTCTATGAAGGAGGAGTGGGTACCGTGTTCCTTCACACTCTAGGTGAGGATTGTGGCCTAGAGAATATAGGCAATGTGCCCAAGTGCAGAGGCCATAATTCCTCAATTTGAACAGCCCTAATTTCAAATGTTCTCTCCCATCTTCCCTTTAAACAAACAAACAATCCTTTCTCAGATCATAAAATTTCTAGAGAGCCCAGGGAGAGAGGGTTGGACTTGAAGTCAAGAAGGCCCAGGTTTGAATCCTGCCTCAGATGTTAGCTGTGTGACACTGGGCAAGTCACTTAACAGCTTCAGTTTCTTCATCCTTAAAATGGAAATAATATTAACACCTACTTCACAGAGTTGAAATAAGGACCAAGTGAAATAACGCATTTAAAATGCTTTGTAAGCCTTAAAGTGAGATACAAATGCTGGCTAGTATTTTTGCGTGTGTTCTGATTTGGGGTTAAGAAAATAGTCTCCCTATGGTGAGCACCATATTGGTTTCCAAATGGCAGAGGGAATCATGGGCGCTAGAGAGGATGCAGAGTTTTTCATTCACTTGTCTCTGTGCCAGCATCACTGCCTGAAAAAGACATTTCATTTAAAAACACCTCAAGTCACAGTTAGACTTTCTAACTCTTTCTTTAGAAGAAGGCCTTCATATTGAAGAAACTTTTTCATTTAGAGAAGTAGGAAATAGTATGAATGAAGTGATAGGGCTCAAGCCTTGGGCTGCTATTAAGTGCCTTTCTGACTCTCTTTGTCAGTGAATTTCAGAGGAGTAGAGAAAGAAAACACAATTCTGCAGTCTTGATGAAGGGGAAAAAATGAAATATGCTCTTATTGTCTTCCAGGAAAAAGATATCCATTCAGGCCTAATAGGCCCCCTTCTGATCTGCCGAAAAGGAACGCTCCATAAAGAAAGCAACAGGCCCATAGACATGCGAGAGTTTGCCCTACTTTTTATGATCTTTGATGAAAAGAAGAGCTGGTATTTTGATAAGAAGCCCAAAAGGATCTGGACAGGCTTATCCTCAGAAGTGAAAAACACTCACAGGTTTCATGGTACTTTTTCTGATTTGGTCTAATCTTTGTATAAAAGCAGCTTGGGTCCCTCAATTCAATCCAACATCAATGTTTGTTCCTGGGTTTTACAAGAACAACTTGAAAGGGCTTAGACATGTGACTTCTATTAAAGTCCCCAGGAGCCCAGATCACCAACTCACAAAAAAATCTAAGGAGCTGGGGGTGGTGCATAGTAACCAAACTGCCCGTGATTAAAGAGATTCAAGAAAGAACCTTGAGAGAGACACCCCTCCCCCAACCCACTACCACCTTCATATACCTACTAAGGGTTCCTTTCCATGAACCCTAGTAGGGGCATGAAGGAAGGAAGGGTTCATGAGTCAAAAGCTAAAATAGTGACTTTTGAGCAAAAATGGCAATATGCTCAAATTAAATCTGTCTGTAGCTAATGTGAATCTAAAAAAGAATTAGCAGGAGAGGCACCTGGAGTTTAGTGGAGAGCAAGTCAGTCTGGGAGTCAGGAAGGATTGAAAGCTCTGCTCCTGACACACACTGGCTTTGTGAACCTGGGCAAGTCATTTCATCTTGCGGTAGCCACAGCAGCTTGCTAAGACTTAAAGGGGTAGAGCATATATTGATCTACATTGTGAGAGGGAAATTCCACCAAATGAGCTATAAGAGTAAAGTGCCTAGCACAGTGCCTGGCACACAGTAAGCACTAAATAAATGTTAGTTAATAATAATAATAATAATAATAATTACTACCAGGATTGTGACCTTAGGCAATTGATTCACTTAGCCATTCTGGGCATCAGTTTCCTCCTCTGTAAAATAAGGAGGTTAAAACAGATGGGCTCTGAGATCTTTTCCAGCCCAGATATATGAGCCTAGGCTCTTACGCCAATGAAACCACAAGCCTATCTCCCCAGTCCCCACAACCTTAAGGGGAAAAAAAGGTTTTTGCTTGTTTTTAAGGAATGAACACTATCCTTCACACTGAAAGAGTTTGTATATATGTTCCCTGATTTCTAATGCTGCCAGTGCTCCTGTCTGTGCACAACTGTTTATAAAGAACTTATTAATTATACAATTTTTCTAAGAGGAGGTAGATTCTGTAGCACTTTTGATTCTCATGCTACTCATCAAGTATCCAAAGCACGTGGACCCCTACAGTAATGTGTTTGTGTTAGGAAAACGAATAGCCAAGTCATAGAAACTAGAAGGAACATTCAGTGAGGACTTAATAAGAGGAACAGAATGTATTTACAAAGACTGTGAGTGTGAGCGTGAGTGTGAGTGTGTGTGTGTGTGTGTGTGTGTGTGTAAGAGAGAGAGAGAGAGAGAAATTTTGGGAAGAATAACAGAATAACATATGCTAGCTCTTCAATGCATTTAGAAGTTTGTCCTTCATGCTAGCAAGATAATTGAACACATATGGGCACGTAAACTTGCAGGCATGAAGTTAGGAGGCCGAAGCAATGAAGATGACTAAAGGGATGACAAGATTAAGATCTATGAGCACAGATAGTTGCTGAATTTGCCCAGTTGGGACAATCACCACAGAGCCCCAAGGTATGAGGGCCTTTTGTTGCTGGCAGCTAGACAGTGAATGATTAAGGGAGGTAGCTGGGTGGGGAAGAGTAATTGTTTCCATCGGTTGGTGGAAATATCTTCCCTGACCCCTCAATTC